TGTAGATATTTATATTTTTTTGGGCGTCTATGATTTATTTTTGAAAAAGTACAATCTTCTCAATAAAGTCTTCCTTCCTAGGTAGAACACTTTGATCATTTGGTACTACACTGTATCTTAGATGACAGTATGACTACACTAAGTTCATTAATAAATAATCACTTTTATAATCATTTGAATAATCACCTTTTTTTTTACAGAATCTTTTTTTTATAAGCAAAGAAAATTATTATCTTTTCTCTGAATTTGTTCCATTTTGCAGTTTATCATACCACAGGAAACAGCTCAAGAGTTAAATTTGGTATCAAAGTTTGGACTGCAGTTTGATACCAAATTTAACTCTTGAGAAATTTAACTCTTGAGATGTTTGCTAAAGAACTTGTTTTTGCTGGTGATTTGGTTAATTAACTAAATTCTGTGTGCCTCAGTTTTTTCACTTCTATAATGAGAATAATGAAAAAATAATATTAAACTAAATTAATATGAATGAATTAATGTTACAGGCCAGACACAATAATTCACTAGCTGTTAAATGACAGCTTATCCTTTAGTTTTTGGTTAACCGTATCTGTAAAATTTAGGCAGAATATGAGCTGGGATTATCCCTGGTGTGTCCATGTTATTTCACTATGGATGAGTGATCTGATCAAAATATAAAGCCCAATGCTTCTTTATTCTTTCTTCACTAATTGTTCAATGCTTTTTAAATCAAAGATTTGTTATATATATTCAACATAATTTACACAAAACTTCATTCGATGCTTAGAATGATGGTGCTATACACTTTTTCAGTATTTTCCCTTCTTTACCAATTAATGGTATCTTAACATAGTTATATGGCATGCTTCTGATTACAGAGCATCAAGTGGCAAAGATGCAAACCAGGCTTAAATTTTGACTCTGTCTTTGAGTTCTGTTATAATGAAACAATCTGCTTCATTATAGTTGTAAGAAATCAATTAGTGCTCTGCTCTAGCTGGCTCATGGAACTAGTTTTCATACTATTCCTGAATGCTTTTGCTTCCTTTTGGTTGTGATGATCCAATATATTTTATGAGAGTGTTGTTAATCTCTGGCTTTAGGCTTATATGACACCTGACAACTTCTTACTTTACGTTACCTTTAAAAATTATTACTGTGTCATTACAGGATGTCTGAAAAAAAAAATGGGGGTAAAAAGGTCTCATAGTATCAATTTGCCAACACGGTTTTACTTTCTTTTCTTTCCTCTTTTCCTTGTATTTACTCCATAATTATTTATTGATAATATCTGACATACTAGGTACTTTTCTAATTGCTGAGAATAAAAAGAAACACAAACTGATTTTCCAAACTTTTCATTTGATCTTTCTCTTTTAAAATTTTACTGATTTTCTCTTTCAATTATATGAATTGTATTGGTAAAGCTCTGTTAACTTAATACAATACAAAAGACAAACTTTTCACAATTTAACCAGATGCAGATGAATTTTCTACTCATAGATTTCAATGAGCAAGTTCAAATGAATGTTGTTTTATACTGTCTTGCAGACACTTCTGCATCAGAATCACTTCTCAAGTTTAACATATAATGTATAATCCTGCATTAAAACTAACAATCTCTTTTTAACTAGGTCTCAAGGGTTCTACTTCACCTTTATTCTGTTTCATTTGCTTACTAACTAAGCACATATATTTCTCAAAACTGTGAACGGACTGACAGTTTAATGTCCAAACAGCACTACAGCAGTAAATGTTGCTTTTCTTTGCTTTAAATTGTGCACATCAAAACTGATCATTTACATGCGGGATGAGGAAATATTGTTGATGCACTTCCTTCAAATCTGGAGACTTTTAATGTCCCTAATCCTCTTTAAATTCTCATACACAATTTGTCTATTTTTTATAATAAAATATCTGAATCAGGTCAATGTCATTCCTCACTTGGCTTTTTTTGTTGTTGTTGTTGTTCCCTAATGACCTCTAGTGAGAGATTTACATGTAAGATAAAGTTGGTATTGATTCATTAATTCTTCAAGAAAATACAAATGAGATAAAAAGTAAAAGTTAAATTTTTAATGTCTGTATTTGGACTTGTTTTAAGCCTATAAGACCTACTACTCTATATGAGTAAATCATTCCTAAAGCATTATCACAATGAAGTGCATGGTATGGGCAAATTTGGATTGAACCAGAGAAATTCTTCTTTATTAATACACTGTCCTTAGGAAAAGGTAAAATGATTAATTGTCTTTTACAAGGCCCTATAGTAATCATGCAACTATACAGCTCATTCTTTTTAGTGCATTTATTCTTCATCCAAAACTGTGGAATGTGGTGACCCTGGAAGTGCTGAATACTGTAACTGTTAAGTAGTAATAACATTAGGAAATTCAATCTGATATATAAAAATGGGGGGCGGAGAGGAGGGAGAAAAGCATCATGACATACTTTGTCTAAAACAAAAAAGCACATCAAAACTGATCATTTACATGGGGTGGGCTCATTTACATGGGGGTATCATGACACATTTTTCTCTAAAAAAATGGCATGCCTGGAATGGTACATATCAATTTCATGAGAAAGTCTCTTGCCCTGGAAAGTCAAGGGCTTTTGTGTAGAATGACTGATATTGTCATACATGACATATAGTATAGATGAATAAGCCAATGCTGCCATTTTACGTTGGACTGGCCATACATTTATTTATATTGTAACAATTTCTGTGTTCACAATTTATGGCCCTTGTAAAAGATGCAGAGTAGATATATAAACCAATTCAAGGATTGAAAATAAGCTATAGAAGGGAAAATATAATGAAATATACAAATTTGGTCTAGAAATGTATACTAATGTTTTCATATGTCCATTTAGACTTTTTACATTTCCACTAAGGAAATAAGTTGCAGCAACAGAGATTTAGGTTAGATAAAGGGAAGACTATCTGGATATGTGAGATACTTAAGCTAATTCCAAGATGGGGGGGGCTGTTATAAATGGATTCTAAAATGAGGGGTGGTAGACAGTACTCCTCTAAATGTCACTGGCTGTGTAGTGTTTATTATGATGCCATTTGAATACAAGGATATGTATTCCTTCTCTGAGGAGAGTCTTCTATCAGCTTCTCTGATGAGAAACTTCTTTCTGGGAATATCAGTTTTTAAGGGCCATCAGTTTAAATTAATATATTTAATAGCATATGGATTTTTTTATTGACATAATCATGAAATGTAACAAAATAGTCACAAACAAGTTACTCCATCAAAGCATTCATTTAAGGTATATTAAATATTTTTAAGAACATGTGTGCATTTGAAAAATCACTATTTAGTAAATTTTACTCCATTTTTAAAGCCATGATATTTTCCCCACACTGTAATATTGTTGGCAGTTTAAAGACACCTCCCCCACCACTGGTTTTTTAAAGCAGCGTTCCAGTATTCTGTCTAAAAGTAACCTTCTCCTTAACATAGGCACACTTCATTAAGCATAGCTATTATGGAAATGTGGTATAAGGATGTCTAAATTATGAAACTGATACTGTGGTTCTATTGTCATCACTTCTATTAGCTAGAGGTGTGACCTTGGACAAGTCATTTTTGAGGATCATTCCCCAGTTCCTTTGTTGGTAATTTTAGGGCAGTATTAGGAGTGACCAGTTATGTTCTTCCTTCCTTGAAATTCTATTCTAGGATTCTATAAAATCATAATTTAAATAAGTTGGCATTTTAAACATACTTAAAAACAGATTGTGAAAGGTGGATAGTTATTTTGACAATGAAGCACACAGTATCAAGTGATTTAATTCTAATTCAATATGTAGAACAAGGTGACCATTTGTTGTATTAACTTTTTCTTCAATCCCCTGCTAGCTAAAAATTATTAATATGTTATTCTAGCAGAGAACTGAAGAAAAGTTAATACAGAAAATTGTTACCTTGTTCGACGCATTGAATTAGAATTAAATCACTTGATACTGTGTACTCCACTGTCAAAATAACTGTCCACCTTTTACTGAGAGCTCACGTAAGAGATTTGAAAACATATATAAATACTGTTTCCCTTCATATACTACACTGAATTATCTAAAATACTTATTTTATCATAAATAATCAGAGTACAAAAGCAGCAAGTAATGTTATAAATACATGTTTTTCAATTACCAAATTTCTGTTCTTTTATATTTCACATTAAACACTTAAAGTACCTTCAAGAGACTGTACCCACTGAAAACCTAATTTTATGATTTCATGAATTATGAACACATGATCAATTTTAGAGATGATTGTAGTGATTGCTCTTTAACTTGACAGCAATGTCACTGAGAGTTATTTCGGTTATTCAAAAATGCACAAAATAGAACCTTATCGGTAGATTGAGAAAACTAATTCCAATTCTGACATTTAAAAATTTGAAAATCAGGCTAAAAACTTTGGGATAAAGATAATTTCTGAAATGTCATGTGTTTACTTTAAAAAAAAAATGAAACACCTAAACTGTACTTTAGCAGTGTGCTTCAAATTAGTTTGGGGAAATATTGAAGAATTCAATATTCCTATTTTAAATAAGACTCCAAATATCCTGTGCAGATTCATTATAAAGCAGTCACTCTAATGCTAGCTACTCTCCTTGTAGGCAAAAGGAGAGATAAAAAGAATTCATTTACATCTCACACTTAAGTGTTCAAGAATATGATGTGTTTCACACTATGATATGTAATAGGAAACATGGTCCTATAGTTTAATTCATAAACAAGTTAAGTGTAAAAAGGCAGCAACATAAAATCTTAGTTTATAGAGGGAAAGAGTGAAATCTCTATGGAGCCTATTTCAGAATTGACATTTTGCTAAAACTATTTGACTCAGTTTTCTACTTACTAAATATTTTCCACTTCTGATTTCATGATTTAGTTTTAAAACCAAGGAAATCACCACTGTGTGCAAGATGCTAACATTTACCTCAATCTTTTTATCTCTTCTAAGATTGCTTCAAAGTAAAGATAGATAGTCCATAGGTCTTACCTAGACAAGGAGCAGCTGAACCGCCAAGGCGTAACATTGTTCAACACTCAGCTAGGAAAGATCCGTCCCCGTTACTTTCTCCAAAATATAAGTTCACAGTTCGTGGTTGAGATCATGGCTCTATTCTAAGCAGTTTTACACAGCGTGTGACTCTAACAAAAACACCCTCCGCAGCTGGAGGGAGCCTTAGCTAAAGCGGGAGTCTGTCAAGGCGTTCCTAGTGACTTCTGTCTACTAAATTCAGACTGATGTTTTGTGAAAGGGGCCTCCATAAGCAGGCCCACATTGCCTGGGAAGTATTTCCTGCCTCTGAGGAGTGTGCATGTGAGAAAGACTGCACGAAGCAGAGGGGAGGGGGAGAGCGCAGAGCCCGCCTGGGCGTTTCAGGAGTTTTGATTTTACACAGAACTGAAGTGAGTTTGTCAAAGCTCTTGAGGTGATTAGCTGGGGAGTCATAAAGTCCTAGAGCTTTTTCTATCCCACTCTGCTTATGAAAAAAAGGAAAGAAAGAAAACAGTTTTCTCCTTCATCTGTAGCTTTTTCAATATATTACATATACATGTACAATGCATCTATGTAGCTATATTCAGACACCCAACTTAATCACAATACTTTTACAGTTCTCCTTTCAAAAGAGCGTGTGAAATAGAATGATATATTTAGTTTTAATAATGCAATTCTTCCAAACGTGAAATATTTTAATACACTACTTACAATCTTAAATGCTGCAGTCATACATTTTCTACTTGAGAAGGTTTGTAAGTAAAACCCCAAGAATCCAGTAAGCAGTGCTTTCTTCAAAATCTTTCTGATTCCAAGAAGCCTTCACAGAATCAAAGTAGTTTGCATCGTGGCATATGCAGCATTACCTTCAGTCAGAAGCGTCCAGTTACACAAATCCAGTGCTGGAAAAGCAGAAGACAGACTCCATCTTGATCCTATTACAGTCTTGCTGACATTAACCACTTGCAACTGCTTCCACCGAGCATAAGAGTCCCTGAATCACGTCTCTAAAGCAGCTCACAGTATCTGCATCCTTTGCTCGACACAAATTTGGTGAACTATCATCTGTTTATCTTTTCTGCTTTCTTGTGCCTCCACTGAATGACTTCCTCTTTGCTGCTCCAGGCTGGGAACTTGGACTACCATTTGGTTTTGATTAAAACCAGACAGCCAACTCTGGAGAATTTAGGGAATAAGCTAATGGAAACTACAAGTATGGCTTTAATTAGTGCATCAATTAATAATAGATGTTAGCTTGTCTTATAATAAGATGACACAAATATAAACGCAGAGGAAGCTCAAGTGGCTTCAGGAAAGAAGTTTTACCAATTCTCATTCCTTTATGACCCACAATTCTCCTTAGGGAAAGTGGGAGGAAAGAAAAGGGATGTGGTCTTGGACATCCAGGTTGTGGAGAGGCCAGTGAAGTGGACTCCTTGTTTATACCACAGAAACAGGAAACTGCATCTCTGAGTTTAATTATCTTGCTTGGTTGAAATTGCTCAGTAATGTCTCCCTTCTACCTTATTTACAATCAGAGGATCTGCTGCTATTTATGACTCATGTATTTTTTCAGTCATTAGTGACCAGATTATTCTGATTATTGGGTCTATGTGTGGTGGGTAAATTTCTAGATAATTCTAATAGTGGAAGTCACAAGAAAAAATTCAATCACAACATGACAACTAACATATAAGTAGATATAAGAAATATTAAAAGTATTAGCTCTAAGACGCACCCTGCATATCTCTGGAATTGTAAGCAGGTTTCAATCTTCACTTTTATTCTCAGCCTTACTTTAAAGGCTGACAGATAATTTGCACATCGCAATGGCCATCTTTTTAGTACTTGCTGAAAATAGCGGACAGGTGACATCTCTGAGAAGTATCATGATGTAGTTACTTTTTTTTTAAGGTTTATTTACTTATGCATGCAGAACTGGGGTACAGGTCAGAGGTGCAGGGATGGTGAGAGGATTCACCAGAGACAGAGTGGAGAGCAGAACAGGCCGACTGACAAAGTGCACTGCTGAGGGGAGCAGCCAGTGGGGTCAGAAGAGGTCTTCTGCGCCATGTGGGTCACCTTTGGGGCTGGTGGGGATCGAGCTCATGCTGAAGTGTCTTTAGCTTCTTAGTTCTGTGCTTTAACCCACTGTGCCACCAGGAGAGTCCAATTTTTTTTTTCCCTTAATGAATAGTTAACTCAAAGCATGAATGATGAAAGAGATGTTAAATGACAATAATGATTTATTTGACACATGGATTTAAAGATGAGGGTCATTCAAATAACATGTATGAGTAGTAATTTTTAAATGTTTATATGGAAATGTTATTGATTTAAAAAGTAACAATTAGGTAATTTATGGATTATTCACATGGCAAGAGGGAAGCCCTATTTTCCTAAATTCTTTGAAGAATGATTTATTTATAATCTGAACTAATTATGTTCAAATCAAAATTTCCACTGAAATTATGTCTATTTGATCTTGCCAACAATCTTTATGTGTATTCTTATTCTTTTTTTCAGGTAGAGTATTCAAAATTTATGGAACTCATTTTCTTACAGTCAAGCGACTGACGGTACTTGAATCCACCCTGAATCACATATGTTCTAACTCTAAATTTTGAGCTTGTCCCCTCCCCGTAAGAGTTCAACTGCGTCTCTTGACTCCCACTTAATTGCTGTGCGAAATTGGGGAGACTTCTTATATTCTCTGAATTTCAGACTCCTCTTTAAAAAATAGGAACAATTTCACATAACTCACAGATTTGAAAGCAGGATTAGTTTTATATGCACATATATTTATAAAGTTGTGTTTATTTCCCTTAGGAAAACACTGCAGCAGAATGGAATGGTAATTGATGTAAGTCCTTTCCTAAAATAACTTGTGTATCTCTATCTCTATCTCTGCCTCTAGTTCTGCCTCCAGTATATAATGGGCACTCAACAAATATTAGTACTTTGCTAAATTTTAGCTACATTTTCTTCATGAATACCATAATTCACCCTCATATAAGTTGTTCTTATTTCTGTTAACATTTATCAAGGAAATAACAAAATCCTATTTAAACATATTTATAGACTCTTCAGTTATCGAGACACTCTTATTAGTAATTTTCTCTCAAGCACTCTGTTCTATAAACAAATACAACTTTATGTTTTATCCTATTATTAGGATTAATTCCCAAATCTTTAATTATTCTTATTTATTTTTCATCTTTTAGTTGCCAGACTCCAAACAAATCTCATCACTCACATTCTCATAGAGGCTTTACCAAATATGAGTATAAATATAAATATGGACAATTTCTGAAATGTTTAACATAGTATCTCATTTTATTTTGAAGACAAGAGAGTAGCAGAATGAGGATTAAAAGTTATTGTGAGGCCCTCCCTGGTGGCGCAGCGGGTTAAAGCACAGCACTGAGAAGCTAAAGCAACTTCCCCATGAGTTCGATTCCCGCCTGCCCCGGAGGTGACCACATAGGGAGGCAGACCTCTCCTGACTCGCCCGCTGCTCCCCTCAGCAGTGTACTTCGTCGATCTGCCTGTTCTGTTCCCCACTCTGTCTCTGGTGAAGCCTCTCACCGCCCCTGAGCCTCTGGCCTGTACCCCAGTTCCGTATGTACAAATAAATTAAAAAAAAAAGTTATTGTGAAAGAAATCCAGCAAAATGGTGGCGAAGTGAAAACACCAGAATTGCCTTCTCCATTTATTACAGTTAGACTACAGCAGAACAAGCTAAAAACCATTGAAGGAAAAGTATAATGTGGACCACATCACACAACAGGGGCAGTCTGGTGGAAGTGAGTGCAGAAGTTAACAGTCTGAAAGTCTATCCCTATAGACTTTATAATATATAAAGACTAAAAATGAAGACATGAAAGAAAAACTCATAATGCAGAATATGACTGAAGAGGTGGTCAAGATGATAGTTCTTTTTTTTTTTTTTTAAGATTTATTTATGTAAGCATAGAGAGGTACAGGCCAGAGGTGCAGGGACGGTGACAGGAAGCAGAACAGACAGATCCATGAAATACACTCCTGAGAGGAGCAGTAGGCGAAGCGAGGGGTCTGCTGTGCCATGCGGGTCATCCCTGAGGGCAGGAGATAGAACTGGCAGTGAAGTAGCGGTGGCCAGCTTTCAGTGCTGTATCCTAACCCTTTGCACTAGCATGGTCGGCTGGTCAAGATAACAGTTCTAACAATGTTTATGGAGCTCAAAAAAAATTTTTTTTTCTTCTTACTTTGAAGGTCAAATTTTTTCTCATCTACTATGGTCTAAATAAACATTAGCTAAGATTGTCCAGGCATCCTCCTGTCATCTTTGGAAATTTGAATCTGGATATCTACAGAATTATTCAATGACATTAACATGGTCCAATAACCTCTTGATGGTATAAGGATGTATTTTTTTGAAGAGTGTTTCATTTGAGTGTTTCATTTTTATGATTCAATAACAAATACCATTAATTCAATACTTACATTAAATGTATGACTTTGTGAATGTAAATGGCGTTTATTCTTTCCACTCCTGCAGCGAATCATATTGTAATAGCAATAAATTTAAAATTAAAATATAAAGGGAATGTATGCCACAGAGCATCTTAGCAGTGTCTGCACAGTAGTTAAGGGGAGTGAGTAAATGTAGGTGAACCTTGTCTGTGAAAACTGATCTTCTAAAAACCTTCAACAAAATCACTTACAATTTATTAGATTAACCAAATGTGTGTCAAAGCAATAAAAATAGGTATTTGATTGGATTCCTAATTAATGTTTCAGTAATAATTTTTACCTAGATTTTTCTTGCCAGTGTTTACATTTACTAGATACACACCAGGGAAAAATACAATTTTGTATTTTGTATCAAATAATCTACAAGCACATTATTAGCTATTTGATTAACTCTGTCAACTTTTGACACCTCATTTTGATGAAATATTTAGTATTCTCTCAGAGATATTTAGTAAAGAAACATAATTTTGATATTAAAATAAAAAAGATTAAATATTATTTAAATTCTCCAAAGCAACTGTGTCTGCTTCTTAGATTATTATGTTCATTGTTACTCTTCACTAAAAATTATTAAAATTCAAAAATAACTATAAAAAAGTAACATGATACTTTTCAAATAATTTACATGAAATAATTATAGCAAGTAATACCATAAACATTACATTGTCATGGACACTAGAGTTTATATAGTTATAGAAGCAGATGAAATCTAACTTGTTCAATAAGTCAGGACACTTAGATGCATGGAGATTACAAGCCAAGCATTTTAGAGATGTCTGGGTATGCCAGTCAGTAGAG